GGATTTGCGAAATGGCTTCTTCTTGCTCAAGGATCTGCTGGATCATTTTTTGCCTTGATCCCCATTGTGTTGGCAATTCAGTCACAAGTTTGTGTGGTGGAAGACCAAGTTCTGCTTGAGCATTTTTGAGTGCTCGCTGCTTTTTCCAGCTGTGCGAAAAACACACGATCTTCTTACAGATTCCCACAGCTTTGTCAATCCTGGTTTCCCTCGTGCTTCTCTCTATAAAACAAAGAAACAAACAAAACAATAGTTAAGAAAAAGTTAAGGTTAGTTTAAATTAAAATAGATGTAACAAAAAATGTTAAAAATTGCATTTAATATTCAATCTTAATGCACATAATATGAAGTTTATATGTGCATTTAATATTAAAGGTTAATTTATTTAAGCCTTCACACCAGTAGTTGATTTGGATTCAACAGTCAGCTGAGCTGAGACAAGGTTCTTCAAATAGTAAATGTGGATATTAATTTAAAAAAAAAAACCTCTCCATTTGCAAAAAATGTTTCATTTGACTATTGAATAGATTTACTCTGATAATCATAGCATTATACATGAAAAAGGTCAAATGGCATAGTTTGGCAGTGGCACTGCCATTTTAGAGACTTGGCCTGAACTTTATATATAAAAACCTGATACTGTCTCTGAAATTGTTGATCCTCCATTTATTAGAATTGAAATTTGTAAGTCAAGATGAGCATGCCTCCTAAAAAGAAGCTCAGGGAAATTGCATTATATATTTACATTAGCTTCTGTCTACTATAAGCATTAGCTAAAATAATTACTGTTCAAAACACTGCCTATTGCCTTGTCACATTATTAATCCAGAATACAATTCATAAACACAGTTAATATTAAGCTCATGTTTGCTTAGTGTGCATACATTAAATATAGAATAAACTTACCAATGGCAATGTGTAGACATTGACCAAAGCAGGAAAGTCTTGTCCACTTGTTTAGAGAGACTGCTTTTACTATATTGGCCCCACTGTCCATTGTTAGGCACACTTGGTTCCCATCATTTAAATTCCATTCTTGAAGAAACTGGTTCAAGCCACTTGCGATGGTTTCCCCAGTGTGATCCTCTGGAAAGAAACTTGTCTGGAGGCAACAGCTGTTCAAACTCGAGTCACTTGCAATGAAGTGGGCCGTAAGGCTGATGTACAGCTCAGTCGCTCTGCTACTCCACATATCTGCAGTTGAAGCATAACAATCCACTGTAGACAGCAATGTTTTTATACTACCGCGGCACTCCATACAACGCTGGCAGGGCTGTTTTGGAAAAGTATTTACGCAAGGGCATGTTGTATCTTGGGTCCAGTTTATGAATCATTCGCTTGAATCCTTTTTCCACCATTTGGAATGGCAACATATCTTTCGCCAAACAAAACGCCACTGCATCCGTCAGTTCGTTCCATTGTTTACTTTTCTTATCGTAAGGGACGGCATTAGCAAAAGTGCTGGTAATTTCCATCTGCGTGGGGGTTGTCTTACTCCGCCTCGGTCCACTCGTAGTTGATGCCTCCTTTGCCTCACATATCTTGAGACTTTCTCTGGTTTGTGTTTGAGGTGGTGGAACAAGTTGGATGTGTTTCCATGCTTCATAGCCACAGTTTTTCTGCAAACTTTGCATAACACCGTAGTCTGCTCCTCATCTGCTTTTAGGTAACCAAAAAAGTTCCAAATTGCTGAGGAAGCTCCTCGCTTTTTAACAAGCTCATCCTCAGCACCGCTTCCGCCTTGCTTGTTTTCACTCGTGAACCAGGCGCGCGCTAAACTACGTCATCAATGGGACCTACCGTTATTATCGCGAGAAGTCAAAATTTTATTGTGAGGAGAATTTTCAAGTCTATCGCAAACAATAAGATATCGCCCATCCCTAGTCAACGCCAAAACTAGTAATATCATCATCGCACTATTAATCACTGTTATCGCATATCGCAAGTTTTCCTAATATCGTGCAGCCCTACCCCAAAGCAACTTTTATTTAGTAATAAACTATATACACGAGTGTCTGACGCCTGGAATACACCAGCTGCGAAGCGGATTGCTCATGAAGTTTGCACCCTGCCCATTGCTACTCTGTTCACATCAGGCAAGAATTTTCGACGAGCGCTTCTGCTTACGCCTACCGCTTTCCAAACCCTCAGCCCCACCCCACCCCCGTGCACTTGAAGTGTGTGTTTGTGTGTGTAACTAGTTTTCCCTGCTTGTTGATACCAGAAACTGAGCTGATCCTGCTGTTTTGTAGGCCAGTTCCTACTAAATGGTTAAGTAAATAACTAGTGTTTGTGGTAGTGTACAATACTATTGTATATTACGTTTGAATTAAACATATTTGTTTGTATTCACATTTATTAAATCCATCTTTTGCTGTACAAACTGCATTTAAAATTACTGAAACGCTATGTTTCTCCACAGGTGTGTGTGTGTCATTATTTTCATCTCTCTAGTCTGTTTAGACACACAGAAATTATTACATTTATCAATCATGGCGTTTTATTTTAAAAAAGTCTTTATTTTGTTAAATTTACCAGCCTGCCTATTTGTTTTGGTTTGACTTCCTGCCAGAATTTACACGGTTCGTGAAAAAATTTGAGCTGACGTCGAAACGATCGCTGCATGGCGCGAGCCTTCATGGGGGCTTCACAGAGAATGTAGGTTAACAAAGGTGCCGATTAGAAGCACTCGTCTGGTTGGGGTCTGGGGTGGTGGGTTGCTGTGCTCAGCGTTGGCGGGGGAGCCTGCTCATCAGCACCCCAGCAGAAAGGGCCAAACTCCGGTAATCGGTGATGGTTGTACCCAATGTGAAGCAGTACCGGGACCAGAGTTAATAGGGTGTGTATGGGGAGCATGAGTGGGTGTCCGGCGTGCATTTTTGTAAGTCTTTGGTTGTATGTGCATGTGTGAGCATGAGGGAGGGAGTGTGTGACTGTTTGTGTATGACTGTATATGTCAGGTGGGGCCTTTGACTCCTCCCCTCTCCTGGGACTTCTTTTGATGATATAGATCTTTTTCTCCCCTCCCCCTGCCACACCTGGTGTGGGGTGTGGTGCCTTGGTCTGCCTGAGTGTTCGTGACTCCCAGGTCAGGGGGTTTAAGATTTTTGGCGTCTGCCTGATCAATCCCGTTGGCTGCCTGGTGGGGTCTGGGTCCCTGGGCTCTGCTGGGTCCCCGGCTGGGGTGGTCGCCCCTGGGTCCCGGGTCGCTGGGTCCCGGGCTCAGCCGGCTAGGGGGTGGGAGGCTGCGGGCGGGCCTGTGGGCTTGCCGCTGATATCTCCCGGGACTCTGCCGGCTGCTGGTTGTGGCCCCCCGGGGCGATCCTCTGTGCCTCTCGAGGGGGGCGGGGGCCTTTCTGGTTGCAGTCTCCTTGGGGTTCCTGTGTTCTGGGGCAGCGCCTGGATCTCTGGGACTTGGAGCTCCCCCTGTCTCCAACACATCTTTGGGGGGCAGGTCTGTAGTCCCTCTCACTCTCTATTGGACGCTCCTATAGAGAAACCTTACATAAACAAGCGCGTGTACACACACAGGTGCTCACAAAAGTATGGGCTTGGGCACGTTCAACACATGTCTTAAGGCTGTCGTTGCCACTAAATGCACTATGATTTATTATCATGTGATTGTTCAGTTAAACAATGTTGATTTTATATTTCATCATCAGGCTGACACAGTGATAGCTTGCTCCTGATGTATTGTTGTGTGTCCCATTTTTTCTGTTCTTTCTCTTTCTGCAGGTCTAGAAGCAGACTCTTGTTCATTATTGTTTATTTTTGTTGAACCCCCCCCCCTCCTTCCCCCCTCTCTTCCCACCTTTTGTCTTTTCCTTTCTCTTTCACCTCTGACTCCATGTCTGGTCGGAATTACAAAGCATTCAAGAACAATAACAATAAAGTTTTAAGTATCAGGCGTGACATTAAAAGCAGACGCCTTGATGCTCCACCTGAGAGTAAATCTTTAAGGCGTGTTACCAGCATTCAGACATCAATTCTGTTTGCTTCACAACCAGACAGGACATGGTAAAAAAAAATAATAATTTAAAAAGAAGCGCTCATCATTCCATAGCACTTTGCGGCGCATCGTCACGCTTCGTTTGGTGTGTTCTAGGCGTAACTTTGCTGTAGACACGTGTAGTCAATAATTTGGCACTTGAGTAAATTTTAGTTACAATTTTAATATTCTGCTTAAAACTGTCAATGTTGCGCCCTCCCCAGGTAAAAACTGCACGGTTTGTGAATATAAATTTGCTGTATCTATTGGCGAAGAGGTCCACTATGACGTCAGCTGGTACATTATGATGTAACAATGTTGTTGTGAGCCTGTGTGTGTGTGTATTTGTTAGCGGCTCCACCTTCTCGGTCTGCAAGGCAACAGCACTTGTTGCATTTTTAAAGAGGAAGTGGGAGTGGAGTAAGACTTCATCAAACAGACCGTTTCATTTCCAGAAAAAAAAAAGAAATCACAGGGTTCCCCCCAAAACATTATAAGCCTGACAGGACACTAGGCTTTGCTTGCAGGATAAGCACACGCTAGTGATAAACAATTTTGACACACATTTTATTAATTTTTTGGTAGTAACTCAAGTAACTCAAGTAACTTAAGTAACGACTTGAGTAATTCTATTTTTTGTTTTTTATATTTGATCCTTCTGCCCTGGAAAAACGCATCTTAAGTGTCATTGTACGATGTCTCCCAGATACAATGACAATAAAGACTGTGAATCTTTGTTCAAAACTTTTTATTGTTCTGCTAACAACTCTAAATGTGTAACATGTTTACATTGTCTAGAAAAAGTAAAATAGAAAAACTTGCCACTTACACAAACGCATAGTATAATTATCGATGATTGTACTAATATCTAGTAAAACAATGTTTTAAAATCTTTAACTATTTTAACCCCTTTAGGAACCACTAGAAAACTTAGGATTGGCAAATAAGCACTGCAACAAAAATCTCTCCAAACAAAATGTAAAACTTAATATTCATCAAAACTGACTTCAAGTGTGTTCTGTGATGTGGCTTTATTTACATACTGAAGTTTTCACTAACTGAGACCTTTTTCAGCCATGAACCATACCCTTTCTTACACAAGTGGTCACGCAGCACATTCTTGGCCTCCTGGTAAGGTTTTGCCACCATCTTCAGAGACACACACAAATGGTAGTATAAGTACAAAGAGTCCTTACACAATACTAGAGCTGGGTGATGTGGGGGAAAAAACTATATAAATATATTTCTTATCAGTTGATAACCGGATATAAAACAAATTCCTGTTCTTGTCAATCTTTAAAAATGTGGTTAACTCATTTAATCAGTACATTTGCAGTGGTCTCTAGTAGAATCAATGCGTTGTAAGTTGTACTCTGAGTACAAAAAGCCCTGGTGCGCCTGTTTCAGGATCTAGAAGATTGCCAGATGAGTGGAGAGCTTCAGACAGCAAGATTTGGAGTATTTTTTCCTGATATTTGGACATCTCAATGAGAAGCAGGAGATCTGGAGCACTCCAATGACTATACATATTTTAATGGTGCAAATAAGAAAAACTAACATTTGGATACCTTTTATGGGTTTTATCTCCTCAAATAACACAGGCCTGGAGGAGTTTTGCCATGTGGTGGAGTTGATAATGCCATCAGTTAGCTTCAACTAAGCCAAGACATTCTCTGCAGTTTCCTGGACGCTAAACAGCCTTCCCCGTCATGAGCCAAGATCTGTCAGGCTTTTAAAATCCTTAAATTTCACCGTCTATTTTCTATCAGATGCTAATGCAGGAGATAGGTGTAGGAGACTGTATTCATGTTCAGACTGCATAAAAACTCAAAGTGACTGATTATAATCATAAATATCAATAAAAAATGGTTGGTCTTTCAAATCAAATATAACCTGGTATCGTCAAACTTGACCAAGGGACATTAAAGGTGTGGTTCAGTGGGGAAAAAAAAATCCTTTTAAATCATTTCTGATTTTAATTGGCCACTGAGCTGAAAATGAAAACAGTCTCCAACACCTATGTCCTGCATTAGGTTCTGACAGAAAATAGACTGTGAAACTCAATGACTTAAAAAACCTGACATATCTACGTCACACTGCCGCTATGTTCACACTGCAGGCAAAAGTGCATAAAATCCGCTTTTTTCCCCCACATGCGAGCCATATCTGATTTTTTAACAACAGTCTGAACGCACAGATCCAATTTTTTTAAATGCTATCCGTGTCACTTGAATATGTGGTACCGATTTCGACACATATCTGATGTTTTTGAAAGCGACTGCATTCTGAACAGTCATGTCGCATTAAATCCCTCTACTACGTCACTGAGTCAGCAGAGGTGAGTGTCTCCTGAGGAGAAGTGCTGACAGAAGGGTTCAGGAGTCTGTCTGGACATCCTGCTTTAAGTTTAGGAATTAAAAATATAAGAAATAATGTGAACGGGAGGTGGAGATGCTGTTGGAGCGAAGCGTCTCACCGGTCTCCGTGAAGGAAGGAAAGGGGCGGGTTCTCCGTGAATGAATACATACTGGAACATTTTCGGTGAATAATAATTCAGGGAAACGGCAGGAGCAAGGAGTAAAATAGTTTTAAGTTTATAAAAACAGTTTCCAGCGCAAAACGGTAGAATTAACAGGTGTGAAAAGTTTCACTGATTAACCACAGGATCAGAATTACGTCACAACTCCGCCGCTCCTGGTTTCGGCTCCACGAAGTGTGACTTCTGTGCATGTGGGCCGCTTTGATGCCACGGAGCGTTCACACTGGAGAGTTTGATGTCGCTTTTCAGTCATAGTGTGAACGGCCACACACACACACAAAAAAATCAGATTTACTCAAAAATCGGAACTGAGCATCAAGGCCTGCTGTGTGAACGTAGCCTTAGGAATTATCCCCTCTTGGCTCACAATGAGGAAGGCTGTTGTTGGTTTAGCATCCAGAAAACAGCAGAGAATGTCTCGACTAATGGAAGCTAACTGATAGCATTAACAACTCCACCACATAGCAGAATTTCTTCAGGTTAGTGTTATTATTGGAGATAAAACATCAATATTGCGGAGCAAACAGAGTAGGGTTGCAGGGAGTAACCAGTATCACTATTAACACTTGTTAACCCTTTAAGCGCCAACGTCGCAGAATTGCGACAAGCAGCAATGTTGGATTTAATAAGCCACAGCAGCAGAAATGAGCCCTCATGCAGTAATACGTTACACAGCGGGGTGGCAGACACCTGTAACTTCAATCCAAGCAGCATTTGTAGGTGTGTTACTATTCAAACTTTGAGTAATTAGAACTTGAACCCCGCCCACCAGTCGCAGAATCGCGGGGCTTGTCAGTGCAGTCAGATCGAGTGAGAGCGAGCGAGTGGTAGAGGAAAAAAAAAAACACAATGCCAAGAGGAATGCTCAATGCTGACGAAGCTCTTCGTGTAGTACTGGCAGATTCAGATTCGGAGGAAGAATATTTCCTTTCCAAGGATGATCTGCGGTCTTCTAGCGAGACGGAAAGCGTGGCTTCAGCGCACAGCAACAGGGAGTCTGACGACGCGGTTACACAAGCAGCCCATCCAGCCCTTACCTTGTCTGATGTTCCGCGTCATCGTGTCTGTGGTCGGGGAAAGAGACGTGGTGGAGGCGGGGGGCTCGAGCAGCTCGTACCGGGTCTGATCCTTCGCGCCACCGTGGTGTGATGTGGGTGACCGGGCCGGTGAAAACTCCACTGGTGATTGATTCAGCCCTGGGGGTGTAATCCGCGGGAATTGGGAGCCGGAAGGGGAGAAACCGCTGGTTCGGGGAAAGACAGGTGGTGGGGGGCCTACCAGTCCGTGCCGGGGGGATGTGGTGGCGGTGATGGGCCGGCGAAAACTCCGCTGGTGATCGGTTCAACCCCGGGGTATAAACCGCGGGAATTGCAGCAGGAGGGGGAAGAACCGCAGGAACAAATAATCACTGCTAGCAGGGGGTGGCCCAACACAGCCTCAGTCACAATAATAATGATGATGGCTGGGTTAGTTTGGGAGAAGAGGAACAGTATTCCAAGTGGATCAGGCATTTTGATGAGCCAGTTGGATACTGTGGAGACGGGCATCTGTCAAATTCAGAACACATTGATTTTCTGTCAGTTTTTTTGGATGAGGAAGTCTGGACCCTCATCACAACTGAAACTAACAGATATGCTCTCCAGTATGTAGAGAGGGAGGAACTGAAATCTAGCTCCAGATATAATGACTGGTACGATGCAACTGTCCCAGAAATGAAAGCGTTCATTGCCATTCAGTTCTGCATGGGGCTTGTGGAAAAGCCTGAGATTGAGGATTATATATATATATATATTATAAACAAAATAAACCAAAGAAGGGATGAGTGAAATGTGTTCATGACACTGAAGCACCAAAAAGTGTTCTTGATTGATATGCAGTAAACATAACAAAATACCAATAAAGTAATAAATATTATATATATATATATATATATATATATATATATATACATACATAGTTATATATGTCTACATAGGAATATGTATATATGTATCATAAACAATAACAACACTAAGAAAATAAGACAAAAACATAAAAAAACAAAAATCTGCAAATGTGATGCAATCCAATATGGCTGCCACATGATGACATCACAATATGCAAATTATGTGAGTGAATTTGTTCCCATCACAAAATTTGGCTCATACTGAAGATTTTTCTAATTTACAATATTCCTCTATCTCTAACCAGATTTAAGCTACAAGCTCTTTAAATAGTGATATAAAAAATTAATATTTTACTGAAATAAACTATGGCACCTAAAGGGTTAACTCCTGTAAAGACATCAACACCGCCAATAAAAAAAACTAAAGACAATAGCATGAATAGCAGAAGCAGAGAAAACAATCATCGGGACTGCTCCATTTCCACATAGGAAGCGGTTGAAGTCTCCTGTGTGAGAATATTTTTGACTTCAACCACTTCCTGTGTGGAAATGGAGCAGTCCTGATGGTTGTTGTCAGTCTGTGCAGTTACGTGCACACTGACTGACTAAGGTGATCCAGGTCGATCTTATTATAATAAGCTGGGAGTCTTTATCCTAGTTTGCATGTGCATTAGAAAACCGGCATCTCAAAGAAAGTTTGTTCCACTCCGGTGGTGACATTCCCCTTTTCATGTCAGCAATCTTCTGGTTAGCACAACACAAGCAGTAAACAGAGGCTGGCGGGAGTGAAGCAGGCAGAATTGAAACAGGATATGCACAATGGCTGAATGAATCCAAAACAACTATGCTGCAGTACAGCTTATTTGGTACGAACTGAACTGTTTTATGGTGTTTTGCATGTTGCTTTGTGATGATGGTCTTGTCAGAATACCGTTTTCGTGGTGTCGTCACTTGCGGAACAAAAGTGTCTAATCCAGGGCTATTCAATCCTGGTTCTCAAGGGCCGGTATCCAGCACGTTTTGGTTTTAACTTTAATTCAACACATCTGATTTCAATCAGCAGGTGATTAACAGGCTTCTGCAGAGTTTGATGAGCTGCTGCAAAGGTGGTTAAACCACTGAATCTAGTGTGTTGGAGCAGAGAAACCACTAAAACGTGCTGGATACCGGCCCTCGAGGCCCGGAACTAAATAGCCCAGGTCTAACCTGTTCACTTTGGCTAACCTGTTTACATGCAGAATCTATTTGAATTTCTACCACATTATCTGGGTGCTTCAGCTCAATTAGAACCAGTTTGCCTTCAGCCAGACCAACACGTTTATGTGCAATAAAAAAAATGACCCAAGTCTTTTAGGGCAATACCTCAGTTTTCTGATGTGCATGTAAACGCACTGACTGGTTCTGTTTCAGCTGCGAGCGCCCGTTCAGTTAAACTTTTGTCTTTGTCCGTGCAGGTTGCGCCATTGTTTTTTATATTGGTCGTGTTGGAGACGGCTTTAGGGGGGTTAACCAGGGTTAATAGTCAAACAGATTAATTCCTGCACACCCTAAACAGAGTCAGTGGTAGAGTCCCATTGCTGTTAGCCAATCTGAAAGGCCCAAATATCAGGAAATAACACTCCACTCGTCTGAAGATCAGCTCTGATGTGGCTCACTTCTAGTTCCTGGAACTGGTGCATTGGACTTTTGTTTCCACAGAGTACAATTTACAAGGCATTTATTCCTAGTAGAGACCAATGCAACTTTATTAATTGAATGTGTGAACCACATCCTTAACTGTGTCAATCTTTTTTTTTTCTTTTGGGGCCTTCTTGTTTTCCAAAGATGTCCTACCCATGGCCTGCAGTAAGAGGCTTACTTATGCATGTGTCCAAACATTAGCACATCTGACTTCACCGTGCATTTGTGTGACTCTGTTCCAGCCACATGATAGGGATGCACCGATGGATCGGCATTTGATCCCAATCGGCCGAAAGTGCCCCTATCGGTTTTGATCGGAGTTTTCAAAATAGATCAAAGCAGACCGATCAGGTAGGGTTGTCACGGTAACCAGTGTAGCGATAAACCCCGGTACAAAAAAGACAATAATAATAACTGTCTTGTTTTAAAAAAAAAAAACTATATTATCTCGGTGGGTTACCGTGGCTGCGGTGTAGGCGCAGTGACCCTTACCAGCCACCGTATCATCTGCTGAAGTTGCCGGCGGCACATGCACGCTTTGTTGTTTACAACCAAAACTTTCTTGAAGCTAAAGCTGAAATAATGGCCAAAGGAGGAGACGGCAGCGCTCAGGACATTTACTATCCCTCAAAGAAGACAAAGTCGGAAGTACGGGCATCTTTTGGATATTTGAAGAATGCAGAGGGACAGCTGATAGAAGACGGCTATCCTGTTTGCAGCACGTGCAGAAAAAGTGTCTGTGAAAGGCAGCAACGCTTCAAATCTCATGACACATCTGCATGACCATCACCCACAACTCTACAGTCAACTTAAGGCAAGCTAACGTTAGCATTTTAGCTAAAATGCGTGAAACGAGGATTTGGGTTGAGAGAGAATGCAACGTGTCGCTATATAAAGCAGCCGCAGCGCCGCTACCTGCATATAAACCGTGTCGCGGACACCGCCATGTTGAAATGACGCTATGCATTACGGGGCTCCCAGGGGCAGATAAGAGTTGGTCTCTCTCCGAGAATAATTATGAATTTAACAATGATTACTGCCTGATGACATTTTCCCACATCTGCAAAGCTCACTGGAAGGACACAAACCGAGGACAATATTTTCCTGATATAGGGTTTATTACTCAAGTAAGGGTAAAAAAGTATCTGATTAGAAAGCTACTTGAGTACTGAATATCATCTGGTCTAATATTTTTAAAATGATGACATCAAACAGACAAAAAATAAGAAGTTATGGGCAAATATTGGTATTTTAAAGACTAAAGGGAAAAATGTAAACAAATAACATAATTACAAAATAACACATTTTAGGCAAAATTTAGACACAAACTGAGGACAATATTTCCTGACATACAGGGTTTATTTAATTGTGTGAAAATGTAGCACGTTTAAAAAAATACCACGATAATACCGAAAACCGTGGTAATTTTGGTCACAATAACCGTGAGGTTAAATTTTCACACTGTGACAACCCTAATACAGACCATTTTAGTTTAGGTTACATTTCCTTTATTCCCAGATTATGTAGTTTGTAGCACTCATTATAATGTTGTAGAAAATTTCTGGCCAATCCACGTGATCGGTATCGGTGATCAGCATTCTTTGATATCGGTATCAGTGATCGGCAGCAAAAAACCTGATCGGTGCATCCCTACCACATGACTGGTCCAGCGCAAAATAACAGTTATTCTGATTGGCCATTTATCCGTTCTTTATTTCAAAGGTTCACATTGGCTCGTTGTCATAGGTATCGGGGGAAAGTTATTTAGAAATATATGTTTGCTTAGTTTCACCACCCAGCTCTAGAGTACTAAGCAAATATCAGAGCATAATAATTTAAAATTGCATGAATATACAGTGTGAATTAGCAAAACTAACTAAATACTTGTACTGCTTTCCCATGTTTACATCTTTGATCCAAAACAACATAAAAATCTTATCAAACTCACAATGGAGCCATTATTAATTTAGTTATTTTCCACACCAGCTCTGCTCATGTTACCATTGCATTTAAAGCTATTTTTAAGCCATCATTAACTTAATGTGTCCAATGATAACTAAATAGCTCAAAAATTTCTACTGCAGCTACCAGCGAATTTTCAAACTAGACTCTTTTGGCCCTGTGACCGTTCAGGCAATTGCAAATATAGAGGTAAAGCTGAGGTGTAAACGAGTTACCTTTGCTTCTCTGTAGGATCTTGTGGTGCGCAGGTCCTGCCTCTCAGCCTCCTTGGCCGCCAACTTGAAGCGGTGGAGCATCGCTGCTTTACACAGTCGGCTTGCAAGGGCAGGGCCACTCTTAAACGGAGAACTAAAGACACGAAGTGACAAAATATTCAGTCTATAAGCATCACTAAGGACAAGAACAAGCAGAAGATCAAAGAGCCTAGGGAACAAACTAGAAGACAGGTCAATCCAACAAATCATAACACTGTAATCAATAATTTTCCACCTTCCTTTGTACCTCGTTTAACTCGTAATGTCCCATGTGTATGTTTGGTACAAGTCCTGACCTAGCTATGAATGCAGATCTAAGTCACCTAAATTAGCAAGAACAAGTGTTTGGCAAAAACTCCAAATATCTGAATAAGAGTGTTTTTTAACGTCATACAGAAATTTACATTTAAAATAAGACATGATAACTCTGATAGTTTTAATTGATCTTCCCTTTTTTTGTAAAATGATTGACCTTTTCAAAATGATCAGATTTTATGATGTTACATGATGGAATAATTTCTTAAAATGACTAACACTCTGTTTATATATTAAATGATATTACAAAGTATATGCAGTAATTTCCTAGTAAAATATGAAAAAAATCCTCACACAAACAATAACTGCAACACTGATTATAGAGAACTGGGTGAAACATTCTGTAAAAGTGTTGATACATCTGCTCTCATCATAAACAAAACAGCAAATGGCCTGCATTTGATATAGCGCCCTCTAGAGACCTAGAACTACATGAAGTGCTTGAGAACACAACCAGTCATTCATCCACACACACAAACACACATTCAAACACTGATGGTGATGAGCTACAATGTAGTCACAGCTGCCCTGGGACGCAAAGACAGAGGCGAGGCTGCTGTACAAAGGCACCTCTGATTCCTCCGACCACAACCAGCAGGGAAATAGGGTGAAGTTTCTTGTGTAAAAAGACAAGAACAGCAACAGGCAAAGTGGGACTTGAACCTGCAACATTCTGATTACGAGGTAAGCTCACTCCTTTGCTATCGTCAAAGTTTAGGCTCTAGTTTTTTTTAACACCATCATAATTAAGGATACTGAAAACTCAGCTGTTTACAAGAAAGTTTCAAACTTTTAGGTTTAAAATGACATCTAAAAATGTTTCAGGTTATTGCTTCTATAAGATGATCAATGCATCATGGGACTGTGTGGCAAAAAACACGATCACCGCTTTCTGTTAAGTTGGAAATCTTGCCATCTTTCCTTGAAACATAATATTCACAGGGCTTCAGACTTTTGAAAGCCTTTAATTGTTCATGAGTGTCCAGGACTTTCTATTAAATAGGAATAAATGTCTCTCAAGCAGATTTGTGGCCAACACACTGGCGAATCGGACCAACATTTTTGTCATCCCAGAACTCAAATAGGTTTTCAACACCTTCAATGCTCTTGTCAATACAGCTTTTAAAAGTGCAGTGTTTAAGAATAAAGTAAACTGTTTACAGTGAAATAATCCCAAACCAGTCTAATGTCTCAATCATGTTGGAAGGAAGGCTATACCAGTGTTTACCTTACATAGGCTCAGGTGTGGCATTGCACCTATGCTGCGACTTCTTTCAACTTAAGCCTGGTTCATGCTTCTCCGTCAGCTCCGCAAGGGACAGACACGCACGGATTGACGGAAGCGTTTTGCTCTCTTACTTCTCCGTCTCCTGGAGAGTGTTGCAAAGCAATTGCCCGGCAGGACAACAGAGGGCGTAGCGCTGTTCTGTGGTATCCTGTCATGTATCCGGTCCAAAATAGTGTGTTTATATTATGTTTTTTTGTATATAAGATACTTTTTAACTGACAAATTTATCTCATTCTCCTCCACGTCTTCATGCGCTCACCACCTCTAAACCCATGTTTCCTGTCATTTCCGTCCACAAATAAAACACTTGCTGCGCATCTTTTCACTCCTCCAGTCACGGGGGAATTAAACGTTCATATTTTTAGAGTTTTTTCGCGAGGTATTCTTCAAGCTGCTCCGTGTCTGCCGCTAGTTATCCTCGGCTCTCCTTATGTTTGTGAGGGCGCAACGGTGGCGCTGTAAACAACAGCGGCGTTCTGACCAATCACAAGCTTGCGTAATCCATCTCGTTCGACGGATGTTTAAAAAAGTGGGCTCGACTCCGTACGTACTTGCGTGCCTGCCGGAGCCCTACACAGCGACGGATAATGGCGCTGCGTGTCTCTGCACTGACGCAGACGGAGAAGCATGAATCAGCCTTTACTTTGTATGACTTGTCTTTCCCTGTCATCTAGAATCTTCTGGTGCTAATCTGTAACTGGCAACAACTATGAAACTCTCAAAACAGAAGAGTGACTGCAGTAACCAGATTTGACCACAGGATGGCATCTTACTTTATTCTTACAACAGGGTTCCTTCCCCCAGTGCTTTAAGACTGGCGGACTGCTAGGCTTTTCATGGTACCCCGCCATGCTAAATGTCACTCACTTTAAATTGTATTTTAATGCACCAAATTAACATTTAAAATGTTAAAAAGAAAGGGGGCTCTTAACCTGCAAGTCCGAACTGTATCTGCAATAGAAACATCTTACATTCAATGCGTGAACAAAGTGAGAGGTCAGGTAGGACAGAGTGCACCTCTGGTGTGTCGTCAGAGCAGCCACCTGTAGGCCTAAGCTGCAATAAACATCGAACCAGCAGATTTAATCCAAAATGGTTAGGTGATCGTAAATTTAGCAGATTGTTCTATAAGAATGCGTATGGCAAGCATGTCTTGTATTTATATTAAAATTATTATGGCAGCAGATCCAATATCTGGGTAATTCCAGAAGCAGTTTTGGACCCAAGCAAAACTGTGAATAAAAAAAAAAAACTTTAGAAAACAGATACAAGAAAAAATGAACTCCTCTTAACATTTTAGTTGGTTTTCCTTAATTTCAACAAAAAACAAAGGAAAACACGTTAAAAAAATACATTGATCTGTGCTTCTGTACTCCATCTAGAATCTTCGTCTTTCTTTCAGCATAAACATAACAGCTTAATCGAAAGTACTACAAATATTAACAGTATTATGGCCGCCAACTTGTTTTGGTTCAGCAAAGTTTGCTATTCAATTCAGCAAAATTAATCAATAAATACTCTAAATACAGTAAACTGATTAAAATTAGATAAGTGTTATGAAATAACTGAGGTTTCACAATATTCATGTTGTAGGCTTGTCAGTCACACAAGCTGAAACTTCTAGACCTTTTTTATACAAAAAGACAGTGTGCCACCCGGGGGCTTCTCTACAACTAGGCGTTACACGTTTTCTGGGGGAAACCCTACACACTGCACCTTTAAGCTTCTCTATACCCTCCTGTCTTCAGACGTCATTTATATATTGGAGATTTTGCCTGCAAACTCTTGAAAGTATACATCACATATTGACAGGCCATTTTTGGGTGTTTTTGCCATCTAATCACTCGCAAATGCGCACAAAGTTTTCAGTCAATCCGCCTATAGTCTCAAAGCAGATGATGAAATAAGAGCTAGTTGCCAAGACTAGCAAGAAAGTGCTACCCTTCTTTTGCTATACATGAGATGACCCTTACTCTTCTGTGGTCTTTCCCTCGAGTCCATCCACCACTTCCACTGAGCAGTCTCCTTCACTCCAGTTGAAGCCAAAGGTCAGCTGACTGCTGCCTGAGCTACAGGTGACGGCAGAAGGCACCAGGCTGATATGGGGCCGTATCATGCAGTAGAACATGGGGAGCTCAGGGGTGATTCCATCCACACGCTGGCTCACAGACATCTTCATTCTGGAGATGTCACTACAGTGCGAATCACCTGCAAGAATAAGTTAAAATTATCAAAACTGTTTTCATTTTAACTTCTAAGAATGTTTGTCCTCCCAAAACATTCAAAGTGTTTCATGTAAGAAAACAAAAAACCTGCTACTCTATTTATCGCTACTCCACTGCTAAGTGTAATAATGGCACATTAGGCCTATTTCACGATGGATATCGTTACTTGAAGAGTAGGGAAATTACAGTGCAAACATGAAAACGGGTCAAGGGTCAAAAAGGTGAGACTGCATGCTTTCAACGTGTCCCTGCTCAGACACACCTGATTCTATATCAATCAATCAATCAATCAAAGCTTTATTTATAAAGCGCCTTCCGCAACACTGTCAGGAAGCCCAAAGCGCTGAACATGGTACAGTTGTAAGTAATTATACTGAATAAATCAACAATAAAAGAAATTCAAATTACAAAATACAAATTACAAAATACAAAATGGAAATTACAAGATAGATGAAACATTCCGGTAAAATACAAATGTGTGAAACACAATTGGATTGAGTGGATGGATTGAGTGTACCAATGAAAACTGGAATGGATTCAACATAATAGAGGGCCATAATCAAACATGTTCTGGAAACGTCAAGCGGAGGAGGTGTGTTTTTAGGTGATTCTTAAAGACTGGCAGAAAAGGGGACAGCCTAACTGAGGGTGGCAACTGGTTCCAGAGTAACGGTGCTAGGACTGAGAAAGCCCGGTCCCCACGGGTACGACACCTAGACCGAGGGACAGCGAGCAGGCCTTGGTCAGAGGAGCGCAGAGCGCGTGATGGGGAATGTCTGTTCAGGAGTGTGGCCAGATAGGTGGGACCACCACCCTGGAAGAAATGATAAACAAAGACGAGTATTTTGAATTGTGAGCGATAGGAAATCGGAAGCCAGTGCAGGGAGGCCATATCAAGTTTAGATTCTTGTTTTAACTCAGAGTAGCAAAGCCATTGTTTACCTTTTGCTAACAAGTTTCTGCTCCTCTGAGAAGCTAAGACTGAGACATGTTTAGCCACATGTCTCAGCTTTGTCCTCAGCTCTGAGGACGGAGACGAGCAGAGAGGATACCAGGTGATGGGGGTGTTTGTCTTGGGGTCTCCCACAGAAGGATTATAGTAAGTAATGTAATTTCCTACATTCTAGTGCTAACAATGTATTTAATTATATTTACATGATTATTTTTAAATTAACAACTTAAAATTGAACTTTAAAAACTAAATCAATTATCAATGAAATAAGATAAATATCAACAAATAACATGTTTGGCCTGGTTTGTTATTTTGTTTGAACCCAATGGTGTCAGTTCAGAAATGTGAAGAAGCACGAGCCAAGCTCTGCAGCTGAAAACACAAACAATAAAGAATCCTAAACTTGCAATAGAAACGTTGGATGTTTAATTTTATATTTGCTGACAATAATGATGATACAATTTTAATAATAATAATAATAATAATAATAATAATAATAATAATAATACCAGCAGGAGGCTGTGGGCTGGATTATGATTTAATGGTAGCTACCTCCCCTTAACTAACCAGCTAACTAACCCTTCCACTACTTGTCCTTTGGGGACATTTGACTTTTATTATATCCTTATGTTCATTGCGTCTTGATAGGAAACAAGAAAAAACAACTCAAATGGTAGACTTCAAGGCATCCAAACTGCAGCAGCCAGACTCCTAACCAAATCCAGCAGACGAGCTCACATCGCTCCAGTTTTACAGTCCCTCCACTGGCTCCCGGTAGAATATAGAATTCAGTTTAAAGTTTTAGTCCTGACTAGGGCTGAAACGATTCCTCGAGTACCTCGAATAATTCGAGTACAAAAAATCCTCGAGTCAAATTCTCTGCCTCGAGGATTCGTTTAATTCATATTTAATTAATTCGTGGCTTTGCAGTCGCCCGTGGTCATGTTTCACCCGGACTGAAATAAGTGACGCACATGCCCACTGGACTGCACACGCGAGTAGCGAATGTAACTTAACTTTCTCTTAAGCCATGGCGGACAACGTGGACCCCGGTGGAGTGCGAAAAAGACAGAAAATGTCAAGATGTGGGACCATTTTTCACGTCGTTAGGCGGAAAACGTACTCCAGTGTAAATAGTGTAAAATGGATTTAGCCTAGCACAACACCACATCCTCCATGCTGCTGCAGCGCCTGTAAATGTCACTTCTGCAAGCGGACTCGGAGCCTCTACAAGATAATGCATTTTAGCCTGTATTTCCATATATTCTGCGGACACTGTGCGACTTTTTCGTTTGTAGCACTTAGTTTCAGCTCACACCGTACGTCTGGTAGCAACACGTCGGACTTAAAATGTGCTAAAAAATAGCATTTTTACACAAAACGTCGGACTTTTTATTGTGTTATTGATGTTTGTTGTCCCTCGGGATTGCTGCAGGAGGACATGGGTATTTATGAGAGGAAAACGAAAGAAAGTAAATAAATGTTTTGTGATCAGTATAATTTGACAAAACCACAGCAAACATGCTTTCTCGACAATCCTTGTTATTGTGTGAGTAAAAACGTGTTGAAATTAAAACGGACGTGTGTTAATAGGGAAACAGCCGGCGAGCTGTTTGCGCATGCACCGTGAGCGGTTCTGGTTCTGTTTGGGCCGCAGCCGCTCGCAGCGCTACTTCCAACAGTTATCCTCCTAGTTTCTGTCTGGCTTGCAGGCTAGCAGATTCTCGCACGAGGGGAAAATCGGCTCAGGTTGTGTACTTATTTTTTGCACAGCCATTTGTTTACTGTGAAGTAAAGTTGAAGTGCTGAAGTTTTGAAAACTAATTTTGAATAAAACTTGAAGAATAACTGGCAATTGCTTGCTCATTTTAACAGGTCTTTCATAATTATAACATGCTATTTGATATAATGGTTTACAAATACAAAAGGGTAATTTATTAGAGTACTCGATTAATCGAAAAAAATATTCGATAGAGTACTCGATTACAAAAATATTCGATAGCTGCAGCCCTAGTCCTGACCTATAGAGCTCTTAACAACCAGGCTCCAAGCTACCTATCTGAGCTTTTATCCCCACACACCACCTCTCGGAACCTTAGATCCAGATCTGAAAACCTCCTGGCTGTTCCTCGAACCAGACTGAAAACCAAAGGGTACAGGGCCTTTCAGACTATTGCACCCAGACTTTGGAACAGTCCACCTTCAAATCTCCATCTCTCTAACACTGTAGAGGTCTTTAAAAATCATCTAAAAACTCACCTTTTCATCCAGGCGTTCCCTCCCTAAATGTTTCTAAAAGATGGCTTTGTTCGGGTTCACACCTTCACTTTGTTTATACTCATGATTTTATTTTCAATTTTATCACTGCAATTGTTTTTCTGATGTTTTTATTGGTTAGAGGTATTTGCCCTGATCTTTATCATGTTGTACAGCACTTTGTGATTTATATCTGTGAAAGGCACTATATAAATAAACTTTTACTTACTTACTTACTAAAGTTTCCTCCCAGTTTTCAAGCTTAATTTAAAGTGGATAAAGAATCTAAACCAACATTTTCTTGTTGTTTGTGAATAAAGATCTTGGGTGGTCAAAAGTAGCATGCCAAAAAGTCTAAGCCTTGTGTGACCTATTTTTATGTAAATTAGAAAGTTTAAGAATTCCAGAAAAAAATTATTTTCTCAAAAACCTCTCATAAAACTTCACAATGTGGTGCCCTTCCTCCTCTAATCAGCCGTCTCCAGTGTCTGAGGTCTTCTGGTTTAAACCAACCAATCAGCAAGCAGGTCATTAGCATATTCATGCTCTGAACAAGTGGGAGGGGTAACCAGCTCTTTTAGGGGGGGTTAGAATCGCCTGTATCAGGGCTCCTGGGACAGATGAAAGCCAAAAGAAAGTTTCTTATGCCTCTCACATATTCAAAGCAGTGTTTTCGATTGCTGATAAACTGCATTCTTTGTCCCCTTTAACGTGAAGTCAAGTCACGCTGGTTCATAACAGAATAAAGTTTGGCAAGACCTTCTACAGGCTGACAGCGAAACAATATTGTTTATAAGTCTCTGACTGTTCATAGCTCTCATCTCCTCAGCCCCCCCCCCCCCCCCCCCCCCGAGGTATACTGATATGAAGCACACTGCTTCCTAAGGTCCCACTGAGACTGCTGTTTACTCTTCACAGCAGTCTGTCCTTGCGCTACTGCAGCTGGAGCGGAAGGTCCAAGCTGCAGTCAGAGAAGATGTTTACCTCACTGCATCCAAGCTGATAATATATCGCATATGCTGGAAGTAGCTGCTGATTCTACCCGCCAATCAGGGATTCCCTCTTGTAGGTAGGCGCTAACTTCTCCAGCCAATGAGTCGGTAGTGGGTGTATTGGGTCTGAGCAGGTTTGAAAAATCTGCTTGCCTACGCACAGATTACCCAGATGTGAACACAATTAACCTGCCAGGGCTAGGCTGGGTCGACTCAGATGTGAAACCCCTAATTTCTTTTTCAACAAAACCCACTTGAAAGAACTTAAGACTTTACTGCAAATGACCTCCAAATTAAATTGGCCTTATTTATACTACTCAAAACACAAGACCAGTAGCCTGAAGTATTTCAATTATTGATTTTTGTGAAATTTTGATTCTACACAGTGAGGAAATGCTCTTTAAACAAGTTAAAACAAGAACTTGTCTGGTTTATGGTCCAAAAAGCAAAACTTGACTTGCCTACAAGGATGCTTTGAACATAGATGGGTTCAATAAAGTGGCTGAGCAACGCTCCTTGGTACCCCAGAACCTGCCACTGGGTGATCTTGTCTGTGGTGGACATGCTGACCATGTTGCAGGCAGAGTGATGAAGTCCAGATAACAAAACAGAGAAGACCTATGAAAGAAGGTCAAGAGTGAATTGTAATAACAGCTACGATTACATTGATATTATCAACAAAATATTTTGTACAACGCGTAACAACACAGAATAAGGTATAAAAGCTACCTTCCCCTCAACTGCCTGGTGTAGGCTGATCTCGTTGCGGACTTGCCATGCCGAAATAGACTTAGGGTTCAGACGTCTGAGAACAAGGAAAAGAACAGAAACAAAGGCCGCTGACATTTCTATAACAAGAAATATGCTGCTAGGCCTGCTGCTAACAAAAAAAAAAAACGCTTTGAGTTGACATAGATTTTTTAAATGTTTTGAAATTTCTTGGTTGGAAATAGTTCCAACTACACTATGATGCATGATTTCTGAAAGGGTATTAGGGTTGTCACGGTGTGAAAATTTAACCTCACGGTTATTGTGACCTAAATTACCACGGTTTTCGGTATTATCGCGGTATTTTTTTTAAACGTGCTACATTTTCACACAATTAAATAAACCCTGTATGTAAGGAAATATTGTCCTCAGTTTGTGTCTAAATTTAGCCTAAAATGTGTTATTTTGTAATTATGTTGTTTATTTGTTTATATTTTTTCCCTTTAGTCTTTAAAATACCAATATTTGCCCATAACTTCTTATTTTTTGTCTGTTTGATGTCATCATTTAAAAACTATTAGATCAGATGATACTCAGTACTCAAGTAGCCTTCTAATCAGATACTTTTTTACCCTTACTTGAGTAATAAACTCTATATAAGGAAAATATTGTCCTCGGTTTGTTTCCTTCCAGTGAGCTTTGCAGATTTGGGAAAATGTCATCAGGCAGTAATCATTGTTAAATTCATAATTATTCTCGGAGAGAGACCAACTCTTATCTGCCCCTGGGAGCCCCGTAATGCATAGCGTCATTTCAACATGGCGGTGTCCGCGACACGGTTTATATGCAGGTAGCGGCGCTGCGGCTGCTTTATATAGCGACATGTTGCATTCTCCCTCAACCCAAATCCTCGGATCACGCATTTTAGCTAAAACGCTAACGTTAGCTTGCCTTACGTTGACTGTAGAGTTTTGGGTGATGGTCACGCAGATGTGTCATGAGATTTGAAACGTTGCTGCCTTTCACAGACACTTTTTCTGCACGTGCTGCAAACAGGATAGCCGTCTTCTATCAACTGTCCCTCGGCATTCTTCAAATATCCAAAAGATGCCCGTACTTCCAACTTTGTCTTCTTTGAGGGATAATACATGTCCTCCTGAGCGCTGCCGTCTCCTCCTTTGGCCATTATTTCAGCTTTAGCTTCAAGAAAGTTTTGGTGGTAAACAACAAAGCGCGCATGTGCTTACGGCAACTTCAGCAGATGATACGGTGGCTGGTAAGGGTCACCATGTCTACACCGCAGCCACGGTAAACCCACAGAGATGATATAGTTTTTAAAAAACAAGACGGTAATTATTATTGTCAACTTTTTTACCGGAGTTTGCCGCTACACCGGTTACCGTGACAACCCTAAAAGGTATCAATCTTTTTATTTGTTCTGTCTCTACTGTTTATGACTTCAAGTGTGGAATACAAGAACAAAGACAACATAGTCTTGCATCAAAGAATTAAAGACTAAAACTGTCTGAAACTCCAAAAAATGCACTAAAATTAAATGCAGCAATGAGAAAACACAAGAAGAATGTAGATACAATATAGAAAGTAACAACAAAAAGAAAGTATCAAAACTGTATACCACCCAAACTTATTTGGTTTTGAGAAAGCAACAGTGAGCAAATTCAAATAACTGAAACTTACGTCTTTGAGGGAATCTGAGCAGCTCCTTTTGGCAACTGGTTCACATAAAGGTGAAGAGCAACCCCACTTTTCAGACTGAGGAGGTTACTGCTGCTGCTGCTATGCTGAAATACAGACTTCTCTTTCAGGCTGGCATTTTTGCTGTAAAACAGCAGCAGGTGTCGGTACAGATACCTGGAAGCACAGTACAAGAAGGGAATATACATTAGAGATCAAAGGTGTAGTGATGTTTAAAGTTTAGCAGTGAAAAAGGTCTTTGTGCATAAATAATCAAGTATGGTGCAAAGTATTGATATTTATTGGGATTGTTTCCACTTATTTTGTTCCACACTATAATAATAATAATTTATCACTTTACTGCCTCTCATTGGGGAAATTCTGGTGCACCAGCAGCAAAGTTACAGGTAAGTTAAGAAAAAAACAGATTCACACAAATATATATCTATTTATATGTATATTAATGGAAAGAAAAATATAGAGAATGCAACATTAAGGAACTGCACTAAATAACCAGTAAAATAAATAAAGTCATCATGCGAGATCCGCCTTTCTCTGTGGTGGACCACGACGGGTTCTGCCCAATAGGAGCCAATTCGTATAATAAATAAATACATATAATAAAAAATCTCACAACATGAAAAGTTGCGAGACTTTATTATTTTTTTTAACTATTTGCGAGACTCGTCCTCTGTTTAATACTGCACAGAGAAAGAGTCTGGTAACCAACAGGTAGAGAGGAACTTGAGGGGCGGGACTAGGCAGCTCAAAAATAACCAATCAGAAAAAAGACAGAATTGTCGACTGTACTGCGCGAAGCTGTAGTTTTTTGGCTGTACTCAAAAAAGGCGTCTGGCAACGGCAAAAACATTTAATTTTTTTTAAGAAGAAATGCTTTTAGCGCTTCTACTTGTGGTTTTCAAGACATTTGAGTCATTTAGAACAGAGGAAAGAACTCCGCCGCCGTCTTCGTTGATTATGAGAAACTGAGTGTCGTGTGTGACGTCCGCGACACTGTAGTTTTTTTAGCTGTAGTAAAAAAATGGCATCTGGCGACAGCACAAACATCTTTCTTTAGAAGAAAAGCTTTTAGCGCTTCTACTTGTTGTGGTTTTAAAGACGTGGCCAGGTCAATTAGAACAGAGAAAAGAGCCGCAGTGAACTCCGCTTCAGTCGCCATGTTTATGACAAACTCTGCGTTATGGTGTGTGACCAGGGGTGGACTGACTCTCTGGAGCACCAGGAGCCGTTCCGGTGGGCCGACAATGTGGGCGGGGCCGCCGGGCCGGTCTGACATTTATTAATTATTTCATTCATTCATCCACTCGTTTCGTTCGTCTTTCTCTCTCGCCCTCAGATTTCTTACAAATTGGGCCGGCCAATAGGTTACTGAGGCTAGCAGTGTGTTGCCCACATCAAGATGTATTATTGGTCTGTTTCTCATTGTCATGGGCTGACTGGTTCAGGGCGCTGCGACAGGGCTGTCAATCACAGGCAGCACAAACCAGGATGGGCGGGGCCTCATCGCTGGTCGGCGGGAGTGGTTGGACAGTGCCGTGCCTCGGACTGTTGATGTAAAAATGGAGAAGCCGAAGAAACGTTTGGGTGGCGCAGAAAAGTTGCGGCGAAAAAGTTTGAAGTCTCTAGAGGTGGGAGCTGCTAAGTGTTCACAGTTGGCAGACCTATTTGGTACTGGGCCGGCCTTAGTCACCACCCCAGCAGGTGCTGCTGTTGCACCAGGAGAAGGGGCGACACTACAGTAAGTAGCATTAGCACGGGGCTGGCTAGGTTACATTTTAAAACATATGTGTTCAATAAGAAGTAGAACACGTTTCATATTTATAGCTGTCATCATGTAGTATGAGCTAAAAAGGCCGTGAGTGTTGGTATTTGGGTTAATTAAGTTTAATTATATATGCTGAAGGTTGGTTTCACGTGACATAAAGAGCCCATAGTTGAACAGTGAGTGACCCCCTTTCCATCGGACTGGACCAGCAGCGCCAGCATTTTACTGGGCAGCACATTCTCATGTATTCTGCTGCTTGTCCCTTCCTATCGGCCGCTTATGAGAGGCGCATCGGCCGCAAATGCAGCGCGACAGCGCCCATGGTAGATCAGAAAATATAATTTTAATGCTCTGCACAGATTATTATCAAAACTTATTTTACTTAACGCATGGCGATCAGACACATGTATTCACTGCTGTATGAAGCAGATGTGTGGTAACAGCCCCTGCTAATCTCCGCTCTGCTCCTTTACCTAGTTTTTCACAGCTCCTCCGTGGACGTGGTGGAGCGACTTAACGTTCAAACTCCGTGGATTATCATCAGAACTCATTCTAGGCAATGCAGGACGATCCAACTGATTTATTATTTGTTGCATCATGGAGAAGTGTGTCGAACTGTCCCGCTGCCCGTCACTTTCTCCCTTCTGTCACAGTTTCTCCTTCTCCTGCCACCCAAGGCTGGAGGAGAAACTTGAAGGGGGGGGGATCACGACCCTGATGTTTTTAATGCAGGTGTCCCGTTCCCAACACATATGATAATCACAGGCTAACGTGAAGCAGAAAAAGTAAAAGAAATGTTTTTATTTAACTCCCCATCCATTTAGAAAACTGCAGATATTTCCATCCATTTCATCTCCATTCTCATTATTTTCCCTCCGGCTCTGGTGGAAAGCAGGGCTGACTGAGGGCAACTCAATTAATTTTCCCTTAAAGATGTACAAGTGTATTCAAAACATGTGTGATGTTGACCAGTAGAAAGGACTTTCAGCAACATAGGAATGACTAATATGGCAGGTTTGTGAATCCAATCACTGTAAAATAATGTTCAGGGAAAACATTTGGACAGTTTCTTTTTGGAAATTTCTTCCAAAAACAGTTTTTCTCCCATTGAGTTGTACTGCCTGGACCTAGCCTCTAACTGCAATCTGTGGTTGATAGACTAGCAGAGAAGAGTGAGCTGCTTAAAAAGCTGCTCCACTGATAAGGTAGGAAATATTTAATAAAGTTATCATCACACATTATAGATATTGTAATTCCTTATTTGTTGTTTTAATGATCCTTTACAGATTTATTGTGCATGGGTATTAATCCTTAATTTTGTGTGATCATGTACACCAAATCACTTTTTCACTATTACAGGCTGTTCTCATATATTTGAGGAGTCGTTCTCCCTCTGTTGATTGTGGACTTGTTCGAAGACCTGCTTTCTATGTATCTACTTCCACTCTACCAAAGTTTGGCTGTTGAGTCTCTTTTCAAATGGTAAGTTTAAAATGTTTTATGAAATCATACTTAATTGTGGATTATTGGAGACTAATGTTTCCCATGTCCCTCACAGTTTGGCCTCTTGACAAGTGTTCCCGCTGTCCATGTTTGAGGACCTGCTTTCTCTCTGCTTCCACTGTACCAGAGGTTGGCTGTTGAATGGTAAGCTTATAATGTTCTATAAAATCCTACTTAATTTGGGAAGATTAGAGACCTAATGATGCATCCCATGTTCCTTTCAGTTCTCTATTGATGGTTTCTGAGTCACCGCTAAATCAAAGAAGTTTCAGGTCTAATGCTGCCATTTATTAAGATCATTTATCAGGATATTTAGGGTTTTTTTTCTCATTATTTGTTTCATTCAAAGTATATATATATATATATATATATATATATATATATATATATATTTATATAGAGAAGTTATTGTAGTTTTGAAATACACTTGATTTGACACATTTTTTAAATATATTTAGTGACTTTGATTCTTTGCTAAGGTTGTTCCATATTCTCACGCCATTAACAGAGATAGTCATCTCCTTTATTCTGGTTCTAAACTTCGTTTTTTTAGCCCTTTGATGCATAATGGTCACTACAGTGGACAGGTATTCAGAATTGTTATTTATTTGTTTTTGCTATTAAGCACAGCTGTTGAAGACTTTATTGCATTTGAGCCCCTCCATTTGGACTTCAGTAAGCCAAGCCAACATATTTCATACTCAGAATGCACGCTGTCCACTGAGGTGGACATGTAATAAATTATTTGTAAATTATAAAATATTTGTTGAAATTTGTTTCATTCACACCTAAAGAGGAATGAAAAAAATTGTTAAAAAAATCATGGTTGAAGATTTCATAATTCATGCATCAAAGGGTTAAATACTTCAGTTCCTTTTAAGAAATAATTACTGACTCTTTTTTCAAACATTTTCTGAATGTTGGTGGGTAACGTATTGGTTTTAGCTTTATACATTGTTAGCAATATTTTCATATTCACTAGATCATAAAATTTCAGTAGTTTATATGTGATGAATAATGGATTGGATGAATCTTTATAGCGATTGTTATTAATGATTCTCAATGCTCTTTTCTGTAGAATAAACAGTGGTTGTGTATGAGTTTTACATGTGGATCCCCATATTTCTACACAGTAAGTCAAGTACGGAGCAATTAGTGACTTATACAATGTCAGCAATCCAGAACTATTCAGTAAAAACCTAACTTTATGTAGTACTGCAATGGCTTTGGCAATTTTACCTCTGATATAACCTATGTGTGACTTCCAGGTGATAGCTTCATCAAACTGACTCCTAAAAATTCCATTTCTTTCACCCTTTGAATGTCCATTCCATTTATTTTTATTGTTACATCTTTGTTGTCTCTGTCATTAAACCACATAAAATTTGTTTTATTAAGATTCAGTGAAAGTCTGTTTATGCCAAACCAGTTGATAACTTTTATCAGTTCGTCATTTATCGCTCTAGTTACTAGATTAATATCTGACCCTGAATAGAACAATGTTGTGTCATCAGCAAATAAAACAGTACCAAGTAGCTTAGATACATTTACATGATTAATAAATTGTATGAACAGTTTAGGTCCAAGGACCAACCCTTGTGGCACACCATAATAAATCTCCCGCAGTTCTGATTTAGTGTTTTTTAATTGGACAAATTGTTTTCTATTCTTTAAATAACTTCTAACCCATTTGTGTGCTCTTATTCCATACTGATGTAATTTCTGAAGTAACCTCGAGTGATCGATAACATCAAAAGCTTTCTTCAAGTCAACAGTTTTAATTGTCCGGGTCTGTTTTTAACAAACACTGGGTGTACACTACAAGATTTTTACAGTCACAGACTAAAAACTTGAAAGGTAGCACCAGGACGCTTCCCATTAGTCTTGCTGCCCCACCCTTAGTCATGACACAACCTCTGTTGTTATTTGACAGTATAATGAATACAAACTGATTGCTTGATTGATTGATATAGCTGTCAATTTTGGTCCTTGAGTTAATTTACATTCTTTATTTGTTAACTATCACAGAATATGACTATCCTTTGTAGTATACAGAGAGGAGACGCTGAAAAATTTGCCGACTTCTACGAAGTGTCCGCGGCTAATGTAATGGGCTGGTCTGAAGAGAAAACTCCAGAGCAGAATTTTGATTCCAGTCCACCCCTGTGTGTGACGTACGCTGCTCCGCACTGATTGGCTCTGTAAGAATTCTCACGGGGTGGGGTTAGTTGAATAGGAGTTTCCAGACCCTTTCTCTGTGCAGAATTAAACAGAGGAGTCTGGCAGGCCAGGCTCAATGACAGCAGGTACATTAAAGTTTCAGTTTCCCTTCTGACTTAATTGTTACTGCAGCACATAGGTGTGGGTTCTCAGTCATCCTGGACATGATCATCCTGATAGCTTCAGGTGAAATCAGCTAGACTTTTTTAGTTATGCTGAAGACTTTTGCCTCTCATCCTAGAGGCCTTTAGTTCTCATAGTTTGGTTGAGTTGTGGTCAGAAACAAATGTACAGATTGTGCTGCAAGTCTTTTCATCTTCTTGAAAATTTGTTTTTGTCTAAATTAAGTTGAGGTTATTGTTCATAGAAAAAAAAATCATGTTTAAGTTCAGAGTATTTCATCAAGTAAGACCTGCGGTTAGCTGGCTAATTTTAAAAAATTTAATGTTTTTGGATCCTGCCACTTGAAACAATTGGAATCGTGAATTGATAGGAACTGGAATCAAAACGAGGAATTGGAATCATTCAAATTCAAACAATGCCAACTCTTGTTATGCAACAATGTAAACTATGCTAATGAATAAAACATAAGTAAAAATGAGAACCTAACCTCATCAGAGACCTCCTTGCAGTGACAACAGCATGTGAATCGTTGACAATCCGTCCATTTTCTGACAAACATTCTTTAGCATTGAAGTCCCCAGTGCCAAGAGCAACCACCTCACACTGACTGGCTGGAAGGAGGAAAAACTCGTCACATAGGGCACATTTAGAGCCCGATAAGTGAATCATTTAGTCTTTTTTATCTGAACAGACATGGTTCAACTTAAAGATATGTCTATTTTAATAAAACAAAAGTTAAAACAGAGTTATAAAAAAAGTGCTGAATAAAACAATGACAGGATATACACAATTACACTTTTAAAAAAAGGACACCAAGGCAACTGAAGATTAAAGTTCCTACCTTGGCTTTATTACCAATAGTTGTAAGTGATCAGAGTCTAATTTCAGGCCAGATTATTGATAGTGATGATTTTGCTAGAATGTGTGTGAATGGTACTGTTGCAACATTTCATAGTTTAAAGTGTATTATGTTACTGAATAAAACAGCATGAACAGAAAATTAGGACATGCAAAATAGTTGATCAAAAATGTGAGAGTAAACAGATTTTTTTATGGCGCGCATCCAATTAGCAAAAAGCCATTCCACTGCTTAATATCTGTAAACATTTGTTTTTCGTTCATAGAGTTAAACATTTGTTGAGCATTATTTTTTTAATTCACATATTCAGTATCTCATATTGTTTCACACAATAAACAGGATAGTGGGGAAAATAGATATGTGTATAAAATTAGCAGTATGATCTTTTTTAACAAAACTGTCATGTGTGTTCTTGCAGGATCACAGATTTCGTATAAAGATTCACCCAAAATTCACTGAGTAACTTCAGAGTCACAGATGAAGCTACAAGTTGCCCATCTCAGAAATCATACAACTATAGAGGTTGATCCAGTGTAGCAGAGTGGGTGGGGTTGAGGGGTTTTGTTCTTTAGTTTGATTATAAATGTATGTAAAAACATGAATAAATAAACCTTGTTCAAAAAATAAATCATACAACTAAACTATTTTTAACATGAGTTTACTTACAAGTCTGAATGATGAAAGCAGCTGTTGTGCTTGTACAGCTAGAGAACTTCAGGTGGTTGCTCGTCAGTTTAGTGAGCTGATTGCTGACAGCTTGTAGAATCTGAAGGTTGACTGGATTCTTTCTTTCTGAACCACAAAGAGAAAACATTTAAACAGGATTTTTTTATTTTTATTTATTTTTTTACCAATGAAGCTTTCAAGAAAGCTGTACAACATATGTAGAGATTTCTTTAGTCTTTGTTACGGAAAAATCACAACAATTTACTGAGGACAAAGATGACGATGGTTGGTTTTAAACTGTATATGAGCTTTTGCATGTGTGCACGACTCTAAAGGAGAGAGGAAGAGGAGGGGAGAGGCAGAAAGGATGTCACAAGGAAAAATCAGGTTTCCTGCACTCATATTTACCACTCAGTGCACACTTACAAGAATATCCAAGTTGCTCTACAGTGGTCCCTCACTATAATGCGGTTCGACTTTCGCTGCCTCACAGTGTTGCGGACTCATTTTTGTGCAAATGTGCATGCTTTATTTTTATTTATTATTTTTTTAACAGTCAATTGTGTTTTGCATCTTTAACTTTGAGAATGTTTAACCAAGAGAAAAAAGTGTGAAAATGTTTGTGGAGGTGTGCTGGGATGAACACATTTATAGGGGAAAGGAGAACAGGTGTGTCAGCGGGAGCGAGCTTCAGCGTAGCCAGAGCGCGTTAAGTGATCAGCGCTCCTGCTTCCTCTATGGGAGGAAGAGTAGGTGACGCAAGTCTCCGACTGGAAGAGCAGGAACCACAGACACTGGAGCAAGCTGGCAGTCACAGCTGAAAGGACAAGCTTGTGTGTGTCATCATGTGTGTGACCCCTGGAAGTAGCTGTTTGTGCAACATTCTTAATGCCTGTCTGAGAAAAGTGTATAAAGTAAGTAGTGAAGGATTTTACATCCTTAAAACATATATAACAATTATAAATTTTAATAATGCTGAATACTTAGCGTATTTTGCCTATAGAGCTCCGGGAGTTGACGTCACTTCTCCCGGCATGCAACAGTTCAAATCAAAATGGCGCCATCTTGGCTGGCAGAAGCCCGCAGCTGGACTATTTGTTATTGACAGAAAACACAAACTGGAAATATGGTAGATTCCTGTTGTGCCCCAGAATGCTAGAACAGACGGGGACGACATAAGGAATGAGCCATCTACAGGATTCCCCAAGATCCGGAACGCCTCAAACGTTGGATGATTGCAGAAAAAGGCAATAGTGACCGGGCTAAAATGAAACTGTGGGATCCAGAGAGTAAAGGTTTTCGCTTATGCAGCGACCACTTCATATCAGGTACTTAAAACGTTTCAACTGTATGCGGTATTAATTTTAAATGCTTTAATTATGATTCTTAGTGGGCTTCCTAAACTTATTTTGGCGTGGCTTTTTCTGTCTTATTACTCATAGCAACATGTAAATATCACGTAAAATGGTGCCTCGTGATTTCTGCGTGCTGACGTTAACGTGTCTTATGATCACAGCAATTATCTGGCTAAGCTGTATTTAATTTTTAAGCAATGGTTGATCAATTGTCAGATCACACATAAAAAGCCCTTTGGATTGCTATTATCCGTCTCACCGAGACAGATCTCAAGACAGATCCTGAGACGCTCCCCGCCTGACATATTTATTTTATTCACGGAAAAAAATCAGACAAGTGATTTCTCTTGGCGTTCAGTTTATACATTCAAACAGCACAGCACTCTCAACTTCTTACATGTAAATCAATGTTATTTGTCCATCCATCCATCCATTTTCATCCGCTTATCTGGAGTCGGATTGCGGGGGCAGTAGCCTAAGTCGAGAGGCCCAGACTTCCCTCTGCCCAGCTACTTGGACCAGCTCCTCCGGGAAATCCCAAGGCGTTCCCTGAACAGGTCTACTTCGACAGCTTCTGGCGTTTTTAAAAAGTATCCCATGGGCACGGTAAGGGTCGGAGATGTTTAGTCTATTTAATTTCTGACTATATAAAACGATTTCTTCAGTTTAAGTGTGAAGTAAACTCAGACGAAGTAAAATCCAAGCTGATCCCGTCCATTATGTTTACCTTTGTTGCCTGCCAACATGGCGTCTACTCTGAGAGTCACGTGACGTCCAGAGCTCTACTGTGGGTTATTTTCAAACCGTAACCTACACAATTAATGAGGGACCACTGTACAGCATGAAACGGGGAAACTTTAACCTAGTTTACATCTAACAGTTAGCCTTTAGGAACACAAATATTGAACAAACAATGGAAGGAGTGAAGCAGACCAAGTAGAAACAGGACATTCACAATAGCCACATTTACATGCGCACAATAAATCAGATTGAACGCCCAATCAGATCAAATATTCATGTCAATCGGAAGGTTCTGATCCGAGTCGGCCCAATTGGAATGAAATTTCTATCCAATTGAGAAAGGTGGTTTTGTCCTATCAGCATTCCAATTGATGTGCATTCTGATTGTTGGAGTAAAATAATGCCCACTGCGCATGTGTGCAACAGCTAGCGAGCCTCCCCGCCATTATTTAGACTACCTGACAGAAAAATGACGACCTAATTAACGAGCGCCGGCTTTTAAATATGATGGCAGGCCGTCTCCATTTCTGTAATATCTAATCCAGAATGTGCATTTTGTGGAAGTAAAATAAAAATCTGATTATTGCACAAATCGTTTGAGAAACGTGTTCCAAGTCTGTACTGGAAATACGCATATTCTGGGTTTGCAGCATGGATCCCCGTTTCTGTGAATGCAGCAGCTGTTTCTGCAGCAGGTGGAGACGCTCTCATAAAGACGACGGGGTAACATCAGTTAACCAGACCTGGTTGGAGTTTAAAGAGAATGATGAGTATAAAAACATCCTTAGATAAATATTCTGGGCAACTAGCTGTCTTTCTGAACATTTCCTGTTATTTCGTTTGAAACAATTTTTTTTAACAGTTTCAGCTGATTGTCACATTTTATTAATAATAAACCACAACAGAGCTCAGTAATGAAACATGAGTCTGAACCGCAGAGCTGCGCAGCTCCCAGGCGTTACATCAGACCTACGGACCAGCTGATCAAGAGCAGAGACAAGAGACGTACTGCACTGTTTGATGATATTTAAAGTGTTGCATTGTAGCAATATAATCTGAAGACCCCTTCCATGGTTTCGTCCCTTCCGGAAGGTGAGTTTCCAACTGGTAACAGTTCAATGGAACCATTTACACGCAGATAATGCCAGTTTCCAACCACAATATCTGGGAAGTTTGGCAAGATATGATATTCTGCGATATAAAAAGCCAGACAATATTTCTGATTCTTTATAAGTTTTGATATTATAAGTATAATTGAAAAACTCAAACCAGACGCTTCCAGAAAAATCCTGAGTTATCGCGAAATCTCTTTCTGTCACAATGAAAGCGATGAAAACTGCTGCTAGATAGTGACCAAAATTGGAATTGCACCACACGAAAGAATAACAGTAAATACTTGCATTCACATTCTCTATTTAAAAAAAGTTGATAATATTCTAATAAATATTGATTCAGTATCATAACACAAAACATTGCAACAATCATTGTATAGATTTTTTTCTTACATCTCAAGTGTCCCCTGGTTTGTGCCCAGTGACTGCTCTGGAATAGGTGGAACAACAAGGACTCATAATGACTCTGGATGTGTCTTTAGCTGTTTTTACAAAACAATGCCGTCAATTAGCCATATACGCCGTGGCGGCATCAGGGAGCCTTAGGAAATTTATGAGTGGTCAGACTGTGGCTGTAATGTAGTGCAATCATGTCCTTTTTACAAAAGATTAGGCGATGGCAGCATAAAGGGGGCATGGGGGCAGTTTCTGCGCTGCCACAGGCTTCCGTGTACCTTGGACATAACTTGCTTTTCATTGTGATACAAGACACGCTCATTATGTTTTTTTAACAGGCCACTCCTAAAGGTGTCTGTCCTCAACATTCCTCTTGCAGTTTCTGGTTATCTGACCTCCATCTTTAAAGGGACAATTTGCAACATGCAGTTATGTTAATAACATGCAGTTATTGAACCTATTCTTAAAAAACCAAGTTTGGACTCAACTCAGCCTAAAAATTACAAACCCATTTCTAAATAACCCTTTATCTCTAAAATATTGGAAAGGTTGTGGCAGATCAGCTGATTACTTAACTGGAATTACACAACACCTTTGATAGATTCCAGTCTGGTTTATGTTAAAAGCATTCAACAGAAACTGCTTTACTTAGTTTCCAGTGACATCATGATGGTTGCAGACAACAGGGAATTCACAGTGTAATGGGCCATTCCCATCTGTACCGGGTCGGCCCGGGCCGGGTAGCGTAGGTTGTTTACATATCTGGGTGGCCCGATATTTTTCCAGGCCAACCAAGGCTCATTCCCAGCCCTCTTCTCGAGGGGGTCTGCTTCAGGCCGACCAGGGCCAACACACCCACTGCTGACAGCAAATTCACACCTTCCATTAGAGCAAGCCTCTGATTGGTGAGTAGAATCAGCCCACATGGGCTTAAGACAAGGATGTGTGGAATCAACCAGGCCAGGCTGGGGCTGACTGGGGCTACCCGGCCCGACCCGGTACAGATGGGAATGACCCATTAGTATCGTTAGATCTTTCTACCCGCTTTTGACACTGTTGATCACAGCACCTTAATTGCCAGATTTTGTGACTTGGTGGGGATCTCTGGAACTGTTGTACACTCGTTGAGATCGTACCTTTCTAACAGAAGTTAATGTCTGTTTAAACCCAATTATGTCAGATTCTACTGATCTGTTTTGTGGTTCCCAGATTATCTCAAAATTGGATGGGAGGCAGATCTTTTACCTCTCTTGTGGAACCAGCTCCCAGCTTTAGTCCTTGAAGCAGACACCTTGTCTACTTTTAAGACTAGGCTTAAAACTTTATTTGATAGGGCCTATGGTTAAAATCTGATGTTAGCCCAGATCTGAACAAGTATGGGAAAGGAGACAGATGGAGTGTACAGTGGAGAATACATGGAGTGTACAGTGGAGAATACAGTCGGCTCTCCCTTGCCCTGCCTCCAACATGCCTCCATCTAAAAGGCTAGGTTATCCAGAATTATCTCTGTAGTTTATGTTTA